TTATATTTCCTCTTGAAGACCTTGATGTGGGTTTTGTGGGGTTTACCTTTGTATGTTGTTGATCTTCTGAGGTCGTATTTCTTTGTTGCTTTATAATATCCGGGGATTGGGATGTTAGAACAGAAGTCAAGTGCTCTTAATTCTTTTTGTAGGGCAGCTGGGAAAAAACTTCCGAGTCGGACATTGGTGTTAGCCTTGACCTCAATGACGAGTTCGACGCCACTGAGGGGGAGGGTCCACCGGGCGTCCAACTTCGTCGACCACCAGGAAAGGACAAAGCGCGAAAGGGGGCGTCTTCAAGTGGAAAATCAATCAACGAGGAAGTACTAGCGGAGAAAATAGACAAAACTCTAAGTTTTTTAGAAATAAAATTTGAATCCACGGAGGAAGCTCGTCAGCGAAAAATGGCAGTCACCGATCTTCAAATTGTAAACACGGTGCCACTTCCGAATCTCAACCCGGAAAATTTAAGCGTGTTTTTAAAAATTCAACAACAAGTTCTCGATAAATATCACAACTAGATTCTATGTTTTTTTTTAGTAATTTAGGTTTAATTTTCTATGTTTTTATGTTTTTTTTTATTAAATTTGGTTTAATTTTCTATGTTTTTTTTTTAGTAATTTAGCTTTAATTTTCTATGTTTTTAATTAACGTAATGTGGTTTTAATTAATGTAAAATATTTTATTATGTTTTAATTTATGTTTTTCATTTAATTTAATCATAAAAAAAAAAGAATATTGTAAAGTGGTAACCTGTAACGTCCCAAAAATAAGACTCGGAAATTTTATTTTTAAGTTAATAAAATCAGTATTCCAAAACATCATCAATACAATTCAAATAAAATAAGTGTATCAAACATCATATCAGATCATAGTAAATCACAAAATGCGGAACGAGGTGGTGTGTTTTGGTCCCTATAATTTTTGGGTTTAAGACTTTAGCCTCAAGACTTTCGTATGTTGACATGTTTGGTCATTGTGCAGAGAATTATTACAAAAACCGTCTTTATAATTTACAGAAAATGTCCATATGCAGTTATTTTTATAGAAACAATCCATAATATTTTCTTATAATGGTGGTTTGGCCCTATGTACAAAAAAAATTACAAAAATCGTATGTGTAGTTTATAAAAAATGTCCATATGTATTTTTTTTTATAGAAATGGTCTATATGTTTAAAAACTTACAAAAACAATCCCTGCCTAAAAGAAAAATTATAGATTTTGCCCCCCCCCCCCTGGATATTAAGGTTGTACCCTATTGCAAAATTAGGTGTTTGGTTGGCATACGTTGTGGCGATAACAATATATTTGACAAATGATGGGTTGCATGTGTTAAACATATACGAAATATTTATCAAATATGTAGCAACTATACTGAAAGTTACATAGAACAAATTTACAAAAATGACAATATTAGAAAAGCAAGGACCAAAAATAACAACAACCAAAATGATTTTTATACAACACATACATATAAAAAGCAAATGATTTTTTTAAATGATTGGACGAAAGTTATAAATTTAGGTCGAATACATCGAAGCGTTGACGAAATTGAATTTATACTCGACCGCTAATGTATTCCTCTAGGAATACGTTAAAGATAACATAACTGCTATCTTTAGGATGACCAAGTTAACGGTCACTATCCGGCCTAATACCAGACTCGGGCCCTCGCCCTCGTGGTGTCACACTAGGACCTTGGTACTTGGCACTCTCGCGCCCAGGTCCAATTCCATATGATAATCTTCGGTCTATAATAAGCTAAAACACAGCTGGTCACTTCCTAGAGCGACAATTGTAGCGCTCATGTCATCTGTCTCCTTTGCACCAATAGAATATGACCACTAGTGGTGCGCGATCGACCAATATGACTCATCCACGTCCTGTCGGCCCAGACGGGACAAAGGATACTATTGAGATCATGCTCAGGATATGATAGATATAAAAGGAACCATTCTCCTCCAGAGGAAGGGATCGCCTCCTTCGATTCAAAACCCTAATATCCATATACCCACAAACACACTCATACTAACTAGACCGTCAGAGCTTCGTCTTGGGACCACCTCTCGGACGTCGACTAACGTTGCTTCTTCATTGTTGTGATAACAGGGCTTAGCCCAGATGGAACCACCACGAGACGACGTTAAGCTTGGAGCACTTATCACAACACCGGCGGATACATAAACAAACATGCAAAACTTAATTCATTTTAAGTTAACGAATGAAAGTTATTAAGGAAAATTATATTATATATACTATGGACACAAAAGTTTAGAAAATAAAGGGGGTGAAAGTGGCATTTTAAAAAGTTTAAAGTTGAGGGGTCAAAGTGAAATTGTTAAAAGTTAAGGGGTGGACAATGTCACTTTACAAAGAATAGAAGGGAAAATCATATATATATATATATATATATATATATATATATATATATATATATATATATATACTACGAGAGATAAACACAAAAGTTTAGAAAATGGAGGGGTGAAAGTGACTTTTTACAAAGTTCGAAATACAGAGGGTCAAAGTGATATTTTAAAAAGTAGATAGTGAACAATATCATTTTACAAAGTAGAGGGTTGAAAGTGCCAAATTGTATAAAGTTGAAGGGTTGAAGGTGTAGGTGGAAACATCCACCGATACTTCAATTTAGTATATAAACACCCTGATTCTTTGGGGGTGTTTGACTTAGCTTTTCACAACCAAAAGTCCTTTTTGGAAAAGAAAAAAAGCAAAAGATGTTTGGCAAAACTAGTTTTAAAAGCTACTTTTGGAGTTTTGATACAAGGAAAATGAATTTTTTGGAAAAGTCAGGTTTTCCTGACTTTTTGTAACTTTTCCAAAAAGGACTTTTGGGCTGTGAAAAACTAAGCCAAACACCCCCTTTATGTAGTTTTGATAGATCCCGCATATGAAAAATGATCTAGGTAGAGTACTAAAGGGTCGAAACTTTGATGCGATAAGAGATCGTTTTTTTCATTGACTTGTACCTATGGCATAACAAGTTGTATAAGTTTCAACCGGGTAAATAACTGGAAAACAGGACCACCACTAGAACCGATGTAGGCTAATCGATATTGTTTTCGCTAATCAAGAGAACAATGCTCTAAGAAGGAAAGTGACTACATAGTAGATGAAGATAACAACGTAGAAGATGTGGAGGTCGGAATGTAGGATAACTTTAATTGCACCAAAGACTAATATGACAAACTTATAGAAATTGAAGGAGTGCATGAAACAATAGATAAAGAAAAGTATAAGCATATACCCTAACTAGGAAAGTGTGTATAAAAAGAAAAATATAAGCATGTAACCTAACTAGGAAAGTGGGTATGCACAAGGAAAAAAAAAGAAAAGGAAAAAAATGTAATATTGGTGACAATCAAGTATACTTGGTTTATTTATGCTTAAGGTTAAATTTAGAAGTTGTCTGGTTTGTGAAGAGATTTAATCACAACCATATATATATATATATA